CCCCCAAAAAAAAGCAATCCCGGAGCGCCTGAAAAGGAGGTTAGTCCAGTCTAGACTACTGTTATGTCTTGTACATGTAATTTTGTAGTGATTAGACTGTGTTATTGCTCAGTCCTCTCCACCCCTGCACATACATGTACACATACTGTTGTTCAGATTTGTGGCGGCACACAGTACATATGTTTTAGTAAACCTCTGGTACGCTGTCGACATGAGCACACTGGAAAACAAATTATAAACTGGACTTTTGCGTGGCCATGGTGGTGGGTCTGCATCAGCCACTGTGAAAGGGGGCGAGCTACAACGTTTTGCCCATACTACATTACTCCACCTCTAGTCTATATCTTCCCGCGCGGCCGCCATGCGGACCCCCATTTCAGAACCAAGGACATCGTCCGGTGGCGGACGGGAAGGCAGGGGCGTCTGGTCGCCTGGAGACACCCGCTCGCTTCGATGTCCTTGTTGTATCTAGAACCGTGCTTTTGTCATGACTTAGGCACACTTCTGGATAGCCCACAGACCCCAAATATACTAGTATCCAGAACTGTGCCTAGGATGCGTAGACTCTCCAGAACCGCGTGCCTGATTCTGACCCTAACTCATTCATGTATAGAACTACGTACGCACGGTTCTGGATACAATAGTCCCCTACTGAGGCGAAGTAGTCTTGGCTTATTTCGGCTAGGTTGCCCCCTGTAATTACAAGTAAGCACAATACCAGTACATGTATGTGATTAGGTAGCCTCTATCAGGCTTCGGGAGGCGACTGGAAAGAGTAGAAATCGGCCATTGAGAGATAGCATTCCATGGGAGTTGGTCTGCTGGAGAGAACAGTTTGCCGCACCCGTGTGGAGACCAACTTCCCTGGCATGCTAGCTCTTTCCAGCCGCCTCCAGAAGCCTGGTAGAGGCTAATAATTAGGCACTTTGATATGAAAATGAATGAACATCGGTCTCTTGCTATTGTTCCACAGGAGAGCGCACGACCAGTACGATGAACGGGCTGATCCTCCAGAACCTGGTGCTGAGTGACGCGGGAGACTGGGTCTGTACCGGGGAGCTGTCCAACGGCTTCACGGACACCGTCACTGTACGGGTCATCGTGGACGGTGAGTCTCAAAAAGGCCATGTTGATTTGATTATATGGATGACATCCTCTGGGAACCCCAAAACTGATGCGAGCGTGCGAATAAAAAAAGTTTGGCAAAAAAATTGATTTTGTTATGAAATTTACGTGGTTTTGAAGGTTGAACAAATGACACAGAGTATGGTTTGGTGAATAATCTACTCTTCAAATTCATTCCCCTGTCCTCCGATCTTGCTTGAGCGGTCTGACTAGATTTAGTCCACGTCTACCTTTCTATACGGATCAAATCGAATTTGAGTTCAATTTGAGTCAAATTTGACCCTCCAAACACTACTGAACTACCACCGGCCTCCAGCCAACCATTTTGATATGGGTTTTCCTTTTTGCCGTAAACTAACAACTGAACAACTGAAGTTATCAACTCAAAACTGACTTATTTCCTTTTTCCTTGACCGAGTAGACATTCCTGGGCCGCCCCTGAACTTGGCCTTGGAAACCCCGACAAGTTCAAGTGTACTGGTGACGTTTGACCGCCCGGAAGGGTCCGAGGCGTTGATCCTGACACAGTGGATCATCGAATATCGTGCTTCAAGAGACACCGTTTGGACTACGGTCATAGAGACTGACACGGGTGAGTAGTAGTAGTGTAGGAGCTCTGTGAGTCGTGTTGATGGGGCAGCATATGGAGTATGTGGACTGGGATTTCTAGTCTCTAACAGACGAACTATGCTGGATGTAGGGGAAATAATTTGCCATAGAAGTTTGCACTTGCACGTGTAGACCATAAGGGGAATTGGAAATATTATCCTTACCGCGGCCAAGTGTTGATCCTACTTGCGCCGAATTATACGATCCGCAATCCCTTAGAAATGCCTGGTGGGGGCTATGGGATTTAAATGAAGGGGCATTTGTTTCTAGAGGGGGTGTCTTCGTATTCTTCATCATGAGATACGTACATTTCATGAGATCAGAGTTCGACTTGAATCAAGCTTTGGTGGTGGTTTCCTGTATTTCATAGGAGTTCTCATTATGAAAGTTCATCAGTGTTGGTAGTTTAGAGTTAAAACTTCAGATCCAACACAAAAAGTTCTCTCACCTAGAGCTTTCCACCAGTCACTCTGGTCTTCCTCAGTAGACTGACCCAGTGAGGCTTGTCACGTGGCTTCTTTGAAGTGTGACACAGGAGTTCTTTCAATCAAGAAATAGATCTAATTAAGTTTCTCCTCGCCAGACCTGACAGAGTTCTCCGTGGCTGGGTTGTTGCTTGAGGAGACCTACAGGTTCCGTGTGGCGGCGGAGACTGGGGCGGGCAGGGGCGACTACTCTCAGGAGGAGTCCCTTACCATCACGGAAGGTAATACATAACTAGACTAGAAAGGCCAACATTTGCTTCGGAGCAAATGTAATATTTCACTTCATCTCCCTCCCCAAACAAAAATAGAAGATTCTAAATAAATCATACTGCAATTATACAAGGACAAGCACTTTGAATCTTAACAGCTTTATTTACAAAAATGGCACTTGGCAATTATCTCCCAATTTTTTTTTTTACAAAGATGCAAGGACAAGTACTTTAAATCTCGACAGCTTTACTTTTCACTTATCTCAATCTCAAAGTTATATATTGCAGGTACCTAAATATGTATGGAGTGAAATAAAAACCAAAATTTGCAAAGCAAATCCATCATGTTTACCTCCATATGATCTAGCCTAACAAACTACTGTTCTGTTTATTGGTACTTATATGCATTGATATAAAATACATGTATAAGGTGAGCAGCAGCTCTCAACTACGTCCTGCTACAAAATGTAACCCGACTACACAGGCTTTCTGCTACAACACCAGTTACCATGGTGACAGACGTCTGGTCCAGGTCATTGACTTTATTTGTTTGGAAAAGAAGAAGAAGAAGAGAAAGAAATAGAGCACAAAAATGTTTCCTTCTACTGACGAACATTTGGGGATGCTACTTAAGTCTGAGTTTTCAAATTCTATCCAGTTGCTTGTCAATGAGTAACTGTTTTTTTCACCGTCTTTTCTGGATGTCCAATCTTCATCAAAGTTTCTATGACTATATTTCAGTCACCACTTCAGCAACAACAACTACCGAAAATGCGCCACAACAGACAACAACACAGTCAACGACGATAGCTGCCTCCCTCAGCAACAACACCGAAACTTCCCCGACCATCGGACAACAGTCAGGCGACCCTGAACCAACCCTCAACAGCGTCCTTACGATTGTTCTGGCCCTATTGGCAGCCCTGATTGTGCTAGCGTTAGTCGGGGTGGGAGTGTACGTTTGGTGTAAGAGGTCACGGAGGAGGGTGGTCTGTCAGACACAGAATACAGCCAAGACACCTCCTGCCTGAATAGTTTCTGAAGCATCCCCAGTATATAGGACTTACTATATACATGTACATGGTTTGAGAGTGTGTTGAATTATATCACTTTGTCCCTTCATTTTGAGAGTTTGTTTACGTTATATTTTGTTGTGTTGTGTTATGTTGTGTTACTTATGGACTCATTTTGTGTTTCTGTTGTTCAATGTTTAACGTTTTGTAATCAGTATATGTCTTTTGGACATTTATTTAAACAGATTTGTCTTTCGTTTTGTCTTGATTCTAAAGTAAAGAAACTGCTACAAGACACGATATTGTCTCGAAGACAGATCTATTTTTCGCATGCATTATCAATGATTTTCTGATTATTTGTTGTTTTTTAAGGTTTTCAGTTTTATTACTGTGTGCCCTCCTTTGGTATGATTTTTGTGTGTTTTTGAAATTGGTAATAAAATGGCAATTGCTCACCTCTGCGCATTCCTGCCTTTAAATGTTTTCATTCTTTTAATAATGCTACCGGAAATTTTAACTTTGAGTTTATTTTATTGTTAAATCATCCTAGTTTTTGAACCTCACGTGCTAATATAATATAATCAAGTAGGGCTAATCATGAGTTTCGGGATTTTGAATCAAAATCATGCTTGATCACTGGGGACAGCCTGGCCAAAATCTGCAAAGACTACCTTGCTAGACCGGCCTGACCGGTATTCTTGTATAAAGGTTCAGTGCACACAGGTTTTATAGTGTGCTCATTCGGACAGCATTCCAGAGGGCTACTTAACAACCCGTACATGTAGGCCGGAAATACGTCACACTGAGTCCCTAAAACCAAGACAGGTTGTTTGCGTGTTTGGAACTCCAGATCAGTGGACAGGAGCGAGTGGGAGGGGAAGAACTAGAGTTATCACCACAAAACTACAAGACATAACAGTCTTCCGAACCGTATTTTGCTGACAGGACTCAAGGTACGTACTGCTATATGATTTAGCTTGCTATACGTTGTCTGACTGTGCATGTGCGTAGGATGCCAGAAATCTCAGGGGCCACACAACGCAAGCCATGGACAACATGCCCCCAAGGCCCCAACCCTTTGAGTTAGACCATATAGCTAAGCACGCTGAGAAAGAGATATACGTTTCTGCACCCTAAACGTATAGTCAAAGGGCCTAACGTGAGTCTGGCATCTAGGCTATACTGTGCACGATACCATTAGTTTAGTATGTCCTGAAATACCATGTTAAAAACGACAGGAAATGGCTGAACATTCTGTCCGTAAACATCTGCGTTCGTAAACTTTGTTTCCTGCCTTTAAAAGATATTGTTGGCATGTCACCAGTCACGCGTTTGTTTTGGGTAAGTTTGAAAATTGCAATATTCAAATCACGTACATATGAAAAGAAACCTAATTTACAAACTAGATTATAGTACAGTACACTTTGTGTGTGTGTGTCTTGTACTTCTAGAGCCCAACGTGGCAAATATTTACAACATAGGTCTCTATTTATCAAGTTAGCTATGCAACGGCAGGCCGGATAGGAATGGTAATTGGTAGAGTGACCTTGAGCGATCGATCTCTAGATCTAGAGCTTATGCATGTTTTCATGAGTACTCGGTAGAAACAGGTGGTCAAACCGACCTACTTTAGCCGTGTCTATGTGGAATCACCCAAACCGCGATTCGGGTAACTCACATTCCTCACATCTGGTCCACGTGCCACACACACCCGTGAAACCGTGTCCGAACATAATGCGCTTGAGCTACATTTATTGCTGTTTGATGATAACACGCAAGGCGGCGTATTATTAATGTCAGAGGTCAACGACCTGCTTGCTGATGCCCCCCTCCCAGCGTATCTCGGCCGAATGCCGACGTGGTCCCGCCAGTGGCGGTGAAGCTGGCCCTAGAACGGACACATTATTTGACCATTACTGCTCTTTAAGTTGCTGCCACGTAAAAGTTGGTATTGCATATAAAAAAAAGAAATATCACTCCGTAATCCATGACCAGGCGAAGTCACATTGAAATCACATTGCGTTCAGACGCAAATCGCGATGCGGGAAAACCGATTCGAAACAACCTCTAGAAGTGGCTTGGGATCGAGGCGCTTTCAATGTGATTTCGGAGCGTTCACATGGAGCCACTTGAAACCGGCTTCGGGGTAAACCACATGTAAACCGCCTTGGGTGATTCCACATAGACACGGCCTTTGATTCTCCGGGATCTGAACCCCACTGGATCTATAAAGAACATATGAAGAAGCAATTTGATTAAATCTTCATTATAGACAAAAACGTCAGCTCTAATGTTATCTGTAGGTAACGAGGTGACCTATATAGCAATTTTTTGCCTGCTACGGCTGCATTGGACAGATTGGATGATTGATAGCCTCTACCAGGCTTCGTGAGGCGGCTAGAAAGAGTAGACATTGGCTAAATAGAGAGATAACATGCCAGGGGGAGTTGGTCCGCTAGAGAGTACAGGTGCGGCAAACTGTATTCTCTAGCGGGCCAACTCCCCTGGCATGCTATCTCTCTATTTGGCCAATATCTACTCTTTCCAGCCTCCTCACGAAGCCTGGTAGAGGCTAGCTGATGTACAGATGTGAGGTAGCTACGACCACGTCTAGAAAAGTTCCTGTTTTCCACTAAAAAACTTCGCTACGCTGATTTTACTTGGAAGCGGCGCCTGCTGAAAGAACAGAGGTATTTGATTTGTTTAACGTGGGACTGGTCATGCTCGAATGACTGTAGTAATTGTTGATTCGCTCTGGTCTGACGAGTAGAAATGTCCGACGTGTGTGAACATGATCACGTATTTCTGTCTGCTTACTGTACACATGTACTGTTGTAGAACAGTTAGGCCATGTTGATTTGATTATATGGATGACATCCACGCGCGCATGAATTTTCGGCCGTTTCCAAAAAAAAAAGTTTTCAACCATACTGTAAATCGTACAAAACAGTTGCAAAATGAGCAAAAATATACCATAAGTTACAAAAAAAATTAATAAAAACTATACCAATGTCGTAGAATGCCAAAATCAAACGAAAAAAGACGAAATTGTAAAGAAATGAATTTGAAGATTAGATTATTCGCCAAACCATATTCTGTCCCATTTGTTCAAACCTCATGACCACGTAGATTTCATAATGAAAACTAACTTTTTTTTTTGCAAAACTTTTTTTTATTCGCACACGCGCATCAGTTTTGGGGCTCCCGGAGGATGTCATCCATATAATCAAATCAACATGGCCTTAATGAGGAAAACTGGACAGTACAGAGAGCATTTCGTGGCCAAGTTCTCGTGGACACAAGCAGATTTCTTTATTGCCTTCACCAGAAGGGTATGTTTTCGGTTTGACCATGGTTGAGTGTGCGCCTGAACGTATGCCAGCAGCATAACCCGAGATGCTGTGAATGGATCTTCATGATATTTTGTAGGCAAATAGCGGTTGTATGAACAAAGGTCAAGCTCAAAAATTGTTCAACTGGCGTTCTCCAACAGTACTGCAGTGCATTTATTGAAAGTTTCAATCTTAGTAACGTTACACATACGGACTTTATAATATGCTCCATTACACTGTCGTATGCGTCTGGCTTTAGAAAATTCAATGATCACACAATACAAAAACAATTGCAAAAATATTGCAAATTCAGGTAATTGTCATTACATGGACCACTTTGACATTCCTCCAACAGTGACAGTCCTTAAGTTACAACCATGGCGGACAAAGATGGAAAAATCCGCCTCCGTCTGGCCGAAGACATCATCAATGACCAGGTGGGCGGAGCCGGCTGGACGTACCTGGACATCGCGCTACAGGTGGACAAGTACTCCCCAAAAACTGTCCTGGTCAAAACACGAAAGTGCGACCAGAAGGGCAAAATCGTTCTCGAACCCAAGGCTAGACAGAAGACAAGCAACTATCTCGTTCCCAAGGACCCCAGCGCGGAGGATCTTCTAGACAAAGTCTCCGTCCAGGCCTACCCGAAGAAGGCGTCTTGGAAACAGACGTACAAGTTCGAGAGAAGCGTCAGCGGTAACGTCAGTATCAAGGCAGTGGAGGCTGTCGGCTTCTCGGCTGAGGGCAGCAAAACGACCAAGCGTTATGTGGAGACCACCTGTACCGATCTGGAGCACAGAAGTGTGGACATAGAAGACCTGAGGAACGCGCTGTGTGCTCTGACGGCCCAGACCAGCGCAGAGGGGATGAGGGACGAGACCAGCTTCCTGGTGGTCACCGACGTGCTGGTCGCGACGGACGTCAGCATCGTGGAGACACAGGACGCAAAGCACGACGGGAAGGTACGTGAGCTGCGCTGTATTTTATTTTATTTTGTTTTGTTTTGTTTTGTTTTGTTTTATTTTATGTATTTTATGTATTTTATGTATTTTATGTATTTTATGTATTTTATGTATTTTATGTATTTTATGTATTTTATGTATTTTATGTATTTTATGTATTTTATATATTTGATTCCATTCTTTTGTATTCTATTCCATTCTATTTGAGTCTTCTGTGATAGTCACTTGAACTGAACACCTATTATAAAGTAAATATGATATGACGAAGTTTCTCTTATATTCGAAACTTTAAACTTCATGCATGCAGTTTCTTCAGATGTCGACGTCCCTGTTTTTGAAAATATAGATGTTGAATTTGAGAAAGAGTATGGGAATTAAACACACGCCACTACCAGTGGACTAGTCCTCTGCTGTAGTAATTGCACAACTGTATGGCCCAGAGGCTACAGAACTATATGGCAAATGTATGGGCACCGCCATATGCCAATGGTTGCGGGGAAGACTTTAACTTTCAAATTTTGGCAACGTCTCAGGGAGGAGCCTAATGGCACAGTATTGTGTGCAGTTTGCAAGAATTCTAGGAATGGTACGGGCATTTTGTCCACAGAAACGGAATGTCCACAGGCATTTCTCTGACCCACATCTATGCCCACATTGGGAAAACCTGTCTGCCCCGGATGACCCTACTTTCTGTGACCCCGGGGCTCGTTCGCTATACACTCACGGGAGGGGTGCACTATATCTGTCTAGACTTAACAGGTACCAAGTCTTCCTCAAAATCATGAAATCATGGCAGTGCCATGCAAACAATAACCCTAACAGCGACCACCGTCGCCATGGCAATGTATGTTTTCATTGCCAGTCTTGTTGTGATTACGTGCAGGTCAGTGTCGACGCTAACATTCACGGAGTGGGTATTGAGGCTGGAGGTGGCACTACCAAGGAGACGGCTGCTAGCCTGGAACGCAGCAACACCGGAGGCATCATTCTCGCCATCAAACTGGCCCGAGTCCATTATGACGAACAAGGCACCATAGACAGAGCCGGTGTGCTGGCTGGAGGGAGTTACGATGGGCACTACACCCTGGGCTCCGGTAACA